TTGACCAGGACTCACTTTACTATAAGTACAGTATTTCTACTGTATCCTCCATGATGATCCATGATTACTGAACAGGCATGTTAATGTTTATAATGTCATTGTAGCCTTAGTATGTATAAACATATGAATAAAGGACATAGCCTACATTGTAATATGTTTATATATCAAATAAATATAAAAGGCTCACCAAGTATTCGTTTTCTGAACCAAATCTTCTAACCGCGGGAATTCCTGGAAAGCAGTGGCCCCGCCCCCAAGCGACACAAGTATATTTCACGCGCGCGTAGAAGAGATGGCAAAAGTTTTCAACGCGCGCAGAACACAGACCACGAGCAGGGAGAAGGCATGTCACGAAGGCATGTCACGAACGCACACACGCGCGTATTGTTGCTCGTGGTACTGAATCTGCGCGTGTGTGGGGTGAAATATGCGCGTGGAGAGTGGTTTGCGCGCGTGTGAATTAAATAAAGCTGCGCGTGTATGTATTATTTGCGCGTGTGGACTTTTGGCGTAAATCTGGCGCCATATTCCAGCTAATGCTGTCAACAAACCGCGGGCAACAACCACATGTCCGTGTGAAGGTTTATGTAAATGGGCTTGACATAAGGACATAACAACACCCACACACAAGTTTTATTCAAGACTAAACTTGTGAAGATATTTGAAGAGGATTTTTATTAAATCTTTTTCCCCGAGCAACGGCCGTGAATGCTCATGTTAGCTGGTAAACAACCACTCACCTTGGACCCGGAGCGAACACGTAACATGTGTCTATGGTACGTACCTGCATTATGCTTTACTGTTGAGTTATGAACACGACTGTTATGATACAATACAGACGTTAGATCTGCCACAGACGTTTGTTTGTAGCCTTGTTATCTGCCGTGATTAAACTCAGTTGTCCCGAAAAGCTAAGCTAATGCTAACGCCAGACTATTCAGTCCATTAAGATTGTGTTTGATCAAGAAAAATCATATTCTTACTATCTTTAAGGAGAAACAACCCCACAGATTAAATATTAAAGCTACACAGAGAAAACAAACGTTTTCATGGAGACAGCAGCTGTAGTGTGCTAACCATAGTGATAACATCTGTTGTATGTATTGATATAAGATAGATAGTATGGGATTAAGCTGTATAAATACAAATACTGGGAATAATGTATATTTATTTGCATTTACTGTATATATTAGACATATGTGAAATTACAGAATCGGCTAAGGCTTATTATAAAGCACTTTTCGTACAATAGTCTGGTAAATATACGTATAGTAAGATAAGCACATTATACAGATGTTACTTTTGTCTTTAATAAAATACATTTGCAGATGACAAAGTCCCACTTCCATAAAGACAGCTTTTAAGTAGTTAGCCATGCTTCTATGTTCGTTATTTGAGTGAATATTTCTATTCTATTATGCTGCTGTGAAGCTTATACCTCTTTAATATGAAATACTGGAAGGTATTTTATTTTTACCAGTTTGTCGAAATTTGAAAGCAAGGCCCCTATTATAATATGAGTTAGTAATATTAATTTAATACAAAGTGTGAAAAGAAACTCAAATGTGTGATGTCCACATCACAGGGACAAACAGAGACTACAGCGCATTGTTCGCTCTGCAGAGGAAGTGATCGGCCGCAGCCTCCCATTGCTGCAGGACCTATACGTCGCCCGAGCTCGAGGCCGGGCTGGTCGTATCACAGCCGACCCCTCTCACCCTGCACATGGACTATTCCAACCACTCCCCAGCAGGGCGTCTGCCTCTCCTTCGTAGAGAAGAACCTGGAAATAAATATGAAAAACATGTTGCTTTTAATATGATTTTGTTCTTGTATCTGATGTGTAAAGCATCTCTCTGTGTCATGAAAAGTATTATTTATTTAAGTACATATTTGTCAGCAGTATTTATACTTCTATTATTTAACCTTTATTTACTGTAACCAGGAAAATACCCATTGAGATCGAGATCTCTTTTCTAATTGAATACATTAAGCCATGTAACTATTCTGATCTGATTAGAACCAGTCCGTTTGCTTTTCAAAAATTCTAAAAGTGAACAAGAGCAGTCGCAGGCATCTCCTTTGTTCAACTCCATGATTTTACAGATGTTCCTCTCATCAGTGAACACACGTTATTACATTTAGGCCTAATACAAATTAATGTAAGTGAAGCAAAAACGAGGGCCATTAGCAAATATATCAATCATATTGTATATGTGCATTGTTAACATACAATATCACTTTGTAAAACTAATAATCACTCCAAATATAATTGTTATAAAAGGTATAATGTCCGCTTCAAAAGGCTCCTCTTTCGGTTTTCATAATTACTATCATAACTAAGATCGTTAGCATTAGGGAGTTCTCAAAATAAGTCCCCATGTTTGGCCCTCTAACCTGGGCTTCAGCACTGCTCGACACCCGCTATTAGCAGCGCCAGAACTTCGCGCTGGGGGTAGATTTTGAAAATGTTCTATTTATTCGCCAAACAGACCTCTGATATGACATAAGACGGGGATGTTTCTTGCCTCAAATGTTATTACAATTAACTTTTGTGTCCTAATTAAAGTGTATTTTAAGCATTTTACCTTCCATTGTGGCGCAGTCTTTTCTCTAATCTCCGAGTCTTGGGTTGTATCATAACAGTCGTGTTCATAAGTCAACAGTGAAGCATAATGCAGGTACGTACCATAGACACATGTTACGTGTTCGCTCCGGGTCCAAGGTGAGTGGTTGTTTACCAGCTAACATGAGCATTCACGGCCGTGGCTCGGGGAAAAAGGCAGCAAAGCATTAATAAAAATCGTCTTCAAATATCTTCACAAGTTTAGTCTTGAATAAAACTTGTGTGTGGGTGTTGCTATGTCCTTATGTCAAGCCCATTTACATAAACCTTCACGTGTGGTTGTTGCCCGTGGTTTGTTGACAGCATTAGCCGGAAGCACGGCTAGCTTCTTCCACGGGTCTATTTCGGAGAGATACCTCTCCGAAACAATAGGAATCTCGAGATACCTATTGTTTTGGAGAGGTATCTCGAGACACCTTTTTTTTTTATTCTACTATGCTCCGTACTGTCCACCCGCTGCGCACTCTTGGGAGTGAATCCACAGCAGGTGCCAAGGGAAGTCGCGCCACATAACTCCTCAAATGCTGTCATTCAGAAGTTTTGGCTCCAGAGTTCCTCTGTAAAATCTGGACCACAAACGCTCTCTCTATACAGCGCTTCATTGAATTCACAAGATGCTGCAGACGCTTCATTGATGAGAGCCACCGCTGCACAATATTAATTCTTTATTTATTCACTTCTACAATTCAAGAGAGATTTTTCTAATTCATAAAAACATTGTTGCAAATTTGTTCAAAACGCAGCTGAATAAATAGCGTATATTTATTTTAAGCATGAACCTGTGGCAGACCCTGCGCCGTATACGTAATTACGCATATGCTTTGCCTCATTCACCTCTGGCAAAGCAATGTGGGTTTTCCTTGGTTTTGTGCATTCATTCAGGTCATTTATTATTTATTTAGTTACGTCGAAATTTCAGGAGAGATGAGTGCTGCAGTGGGTCTAGACACTAGGGAAAAAAGTGTATATATAATATAGCGTATATATATATATTTTTAAACGTGAATGAACTCAGAAGTGCGTGCTTTTTGCGGCTTTTTAGCCGACTTCCTGCTGACCTGTCGTAAAAACGGGGATCAGGTGGTTTCTGAATATTTATAGACGTGACTTTTACGTCACGGTGCGTATGCTCGAATCTGTGCGTATCTCACACGTTCATAAATGCCACGTCAGATCTTGCGTATCTGGAATGTACACCCAAAATTTACACCTTTTTCTGCACAATTTTCATAAATGAGGGCCTCTGACCGTAGGAAAAAAACCCATAAGTAACCCGCCTGGTTACATCAAGTTTCTGGAAGGTCTCTGGACACAAAGACACTGCAGAGCTGCATTATCGGAGAAGAACTTTACACAAAAAGTTGCTAGCTTAACTCCGTTAGCATCAAAGTCTGCCCGCTACTGCTGCCACTTCCGGCTGGTGCCACCGCTGGCCAATGACTTCTGGTCTGAACACCCCTGTGTCTGAAATTTATAAAATGTGCGTATGGTGCGAACGGAAGCTGCAAACCAGCGTCGGCGGTCTGAACGCACCATTAGTCCTCTGTACTCTACGTTATTATGCTACTGCTACCACTACTGTTGCTAATACTACCACTACTAATGCTACTGCTGCTACTACTACCACTACAACCACTACTACTACCAATACTAGTACTACTACCAGTGTTGGGTAAGTTAGTTTGAAAAATTAATTAGTGACAAGTTACTAGTTATTTAAATATTAACACACTGTTACACTCTAACGCACGGGTACATTAATCATCACAAACATCTGGAGCTCATTCAGAAAGACTGGGAAAACACAGAGAATCATGTGACTCACAAACACAACGTTCACCGCTTTCTCCATCAAAGCTGGAGGACGTACGTTTAAAGCTGGGGTCTTTAATTTACATGAGACCCGAGAGAGAGATAGACCAGAGAGAGCAGAGAAAGACACCAAAGAGAGAGACCAGATAGAGACCAGAAAAAGACACCAGAAAGAGAGGCCAGAGAGAGAGAGAGACCATAGAGACATCAGAGAGACCAGAGAGAGACCAGAGAGTGAGATCAGAGCGAGACCAGAGAGAGACCAGAGGCAGAGAGCAAAGACGGACCAGAGAGAAACCAGCGAGAGAGATCAAAGGGAAAGAGCACAGACAAACCGGAGCCCACCTGCTCCCAGAGAGCTGTGCTCTCTGAGATGAGGAGGCTCTCTAGGAGGAGGTGGACTCTCTGAGAGGGGTGGTCTCTCTGGGAAAAGGTAGTCTTGCTGGAAGAAGGCCGTCTCTCTGGGAGGAGGTGGTCTCGTCAGACTTCTTGTAGCGTGGTGTCAGATGTTGCAGATCCCAGAGTCTGGATCTGCTCTGTTTCACTGTTACTCATTTCATCAATGTTCATTGTTTATCTGGTTTTACAGCACAAGTTGTGTAAGAAACAGCTCCAATCTTTCTCCTTTCTGTTTCTATCTCTCTCTCTCACCGACTCTCTTTTCTCTCCCTCTTACCCCCCTCTAGTTTGTCTCGTCTCTCTACCTCCCTCTTTCTCTGTGTGCAAAGCTGTTCAGGGGATTGAGGGAAAACACTGAAGAATGTGTTTGTGAATATGCTCATGCCCCACAGCTTCAGCAGTGGACAGAGGAGAGAGGACAAAGAAGAGAGGACAGAGGTGAGAGGACTCAGGAGAAGGATAGAGTAGAGAGGACAGAGCAGAGAGAAGGGAAAGGACAGAGGAGAGAGGGGAAAAGATAGAGGAATCAACAACAAGTGGGACACAATCGTGAAGTGGAACGAAATTTATTGGATAATTTAAACTTTTTTAACAAATAAAAAACTGAAAAGTGGGGCGTGCAATATTATTCGGCCCCTTTACTTTCAGTGCAGCAAACTCACTCCAGAAGTTCAGTGAGGATCTTTGAATGATCCAATGTTGTCCTAAATGACTGATGATGATAAATAGAATGCACCTGTGTGTAATCAAGTCTCCGTATAAATGCACCTGCTCTTTGATAGTCTCAGGGTTCTGTTTAAAGCGCAGAGAGAACCATGAAGACAAAGGAACACACCAGGCAGGTCCGAGATACTGTTGTGGAGAGGTTTAAAGCCGGATTTGGATAAAAAAAGATTTCCCAAGCTTTAAACATCTCAAGGAGCACTGTGCAAGCAATTATATTGAAATGGAAGGAGTATCAGACCACTGCAAATTTACCAAGACCCGGCCGTCCCTCCAAACTTTCATCTCAAACAAGGAGCAGACTGATCAGAGATGCAGCCAAGAGGCCCATGATCACTCTGGATGAACTGCAGATAACTACAGCTGAGGTGGGAGAGTCTGTCCATAGGACAACAATCAGTCGTGCACTGCACAAATCTGGCCTTTATGGAAGAGTGGCAAGAAGAAAGCCATTTCTCAAAGATATCCATAAAAAGTCTCGTTTAAAGTTTGCCACAAGCCACCTGGGAGACACACCAAACATGTGGAAGAAGGTGCTCTGGTCAGATGAAACCAAAATCGAACTTTTTGGCCAGAATGCAAAACGATATGTTTGGCGTAAAAGCAACACAGCTCATCACCCTGAACACACCATCCCCACTGTCAAACATGTTGGTGGCAGCATCATGGTTTGGGCCTGCTTTTTTATCAGCAGGGACATGGAAGATGGCTAAAATTGATGGGAAGATGGATGGAGCCAAATACAGGACCATTCTGGAAGAAAACCTGTTGGAGTCTGCAAAAGACCTGAGACTGGGACGGAGATTTATCTTCCAACAGGACAATGATCCAAAACATAAAGCCAAATCTACAATGGAATGGTTCACAAATAGACGTATCCAGGTGTTAGAATGGCCAAGTCAAAGTCCAGACCTGAATCCAATCGAGAATCTGTGGAAAGAGCTGAAGACTGCTGTTCACAAACGCTCTCCATCCAACCTCACTGAGCTCCAGCTGTTTTGCAAGGAAGAATGGGCAAGAATTCCAGTCTCTCGATGTGCAAAACTGATAGAGACATACCCCAAGCGACTTGCAGCTGTAATTGCAGCAAAAGGTGGCGCTACAAAGTATTAGCGCAAGGGGGCCGAATAATATTGCACGCCCCACTTTTCCGTTTTTATTTGTTAAACGTTTAAATTATCCAATACATTTTGTTCCACTTCACGATTGTGTCCCACTTGTTGTTGATTCTTGACAAAAAAATTAATTTTTATATCTTTATGTTTGAAGCCTGAAATGTGGCGAAATGTTGAAAGGTTCAAGGGGGCCGAATACTTTTGCAAGGCACTGTAGAACTGTTAATGATGATAATAATTCTAATAGACGCATTTAAAGCTGATTGGAGTGAAAACCCGTCTGTTTGGAGCTGACTACAAACACAGCTTTAGAGGCCGCTCTAACAGCTTTAGTGTGTGTTTTGTGCAGGGACAACTCGGACTGGAACACGACTCCAGAATGTCTCCAGATCGAAGACACAGAGTGTGACCTCACCCACGAGCTGCTGGACAAAGACAGGTCAGCTTCAAAACTAACAGCTGTCTGCTCTCTCTCTCTCTAACCCATAGAGAGTGAGCAGAATAACTCTCCTCTCTGGTCTCTCTCTCTCTCCTCTCCCTTTGTTCTCTCTCTATCTGATTGATCTTTCTCTGGTCTCTCTCGTTTTCCCTCACTCCCTCTCTTTTTCTGATATCTCTCTCTCTCAGGTCTTTACCCTTTCTCTTGCTGGTCTCTATCCCTCTCCCCATTTCTCGCTCCCATCTCTCTCTTTCTCACCCTCGCTCTTTGTCTCCTTCACAGCTCGTTTACTGCAGATGTTCTGACTGAGGCAGAAGACTTTGACTCAGAAGAGCTGCCGCACACAATGTCTGCAACCTTTAACCCCTACAGAGACAGTAGGTCTGACCTCCTGTTGTAGATGTGAGCTGTGTGCTATGTGTGATATCACTGGTGCTCCTGCAGGCGAGCTGAGCGCGGTGTCCTTCTCCATTCACAAGGTGGCAGAGCGCTCCGTCACTCTGAACATCTCTGACCCTCTGTCGGGGATCCACCGGGAGGACAAGCAGCTGACCATCCGGGACATCCTGAAGAAAGACCTGAAGTACAAGGTGTCCTACTACAAGGCCGGCAGCACGGGCAAGGTATGTCTCTGTCAGTTTCCGCCAATCTCTGTCAGTCTCTCACAGTTTTGCACAGTGTCTGTCAGTCTCTCACACTTCTCTCTCCTGCTCCTATCGCAGAGAGACCTGGTGGTGGACTCTAACGTGGCCCAGATCCAGAACCTTGACCCGGGACAGAGCTACTGCTTTATGGTGGCTGCGTTTGTGCCCAGTCGTGCAAAGTCTGTCCAGCAGGGGGAGTGGAGCACGCAGACCTGCACGCCCGGCTCCGGCATCCTGGACGGTGAGACGCAGCCTTGAATATTGTTCATATAGCATTTATATTAATATTTAGAGTTAGGTGCTTAAGATTCTTTTAATAAGGCAAAAGTGTTGAGAAGACAGTCTCCCACATGCTTCATCAGAGACAGTGATGGTGATATGTCTCTAATCAGCTGTGGATACTGTTGTCAGTTTGACAGAACTCCTAGTTCTGTGGTGAGAGACTGGTTTGAAGTTTTCCTTTGTGGCCTTGTCCTGGGTTTATCTCGTTAGTCGGTTTCTTCTGCACATTCCTTCTGACAAGATAAGATAAGATAAGAAAGACTTTATTGATCTCACACTGGAGAAATTTACATTTGGCATAGATAGAATCACTCAGGTTGTGCAAAAGACAGAAGTGTGCAAACATGTTAAAGGTTAAAAATATAGTCTGCGCAGGATATATTATGTACAATAAAAAGTGGCTAAAGCAGTGCTGTTTTTTTTCAGTCCTAGTGCATTAGTGACTTAAAGTGACTTATTGTACAGTCTGACAGCGGTGGGGATGAAGGCTTTGCGGTAGCGCTCCTTCTTGCACTGAGGGTGTCTCAGTCTTCCACTGAAGGAGCTCCTTAGCTCTTTTACAGTCCTGTGCAGTGGGTGGGAGGTGTTGTTCATGATGGAGGTGACTTTGGCTAGCACTCTCCTGTCCCTCACCTCCTCCAAAGAGTCCAGGGAGCAGCCCAGAGTGGAGCTGGCCCTCCTGACCAGCTTGTTCAGTCTACTCCTGTCCCGCTCTGTGCGGCCCAGTGCCGGTCCTGAGCAGAGGCCTGCTCACTCCGAAGGACCGCAGCCTCCTCAGAAGGTGGAGGCGACTTTGACCCTTCTTGTTAATGTGAACACTCAGGTACTTGAAGCTGTCCACCAGCTCAATGTCCTCCCCCTGGATTTTCAGTGGCGTATGGGAAAGTGGTTTTCTCCTGAATTTGATTACCATCTCCTTGGTTTTACCGGTGTTCAAGCACAGTTGCGCTTACACCAGTTGACAGATATTACTTTATGAAACAATGTATTTATTAAAGTGAGACGTTTTTGTATTTCATATGAAGATTTTCTATAATTAGGATCAGAAACTGCTCCACACACACACACACACACGTTACCTGGTGGGTCCCTTTGACAAGGGCGTTCCGAATGGGACCCATAGACATGATCTTTTTTACTGGGACTACTTTAAGTAATACAAAACAATAGAAAACAAACAACTCTTTTAAAGGAATTTTATTTTAGATTTTTTTTCGAATTGCAGTGATTCTATTTTTGACATAGAATTTAATGCCACTCCATGTCCGATGTTTAAGGTCATCTGGTGAGGCATTAATGCAGGCCAGGCAGTGAGACTTCCCAGAGACTTTTCCAGTCTGTATGAAAGGCATCATGGTCTTCTCCACAGCCTTCACCTCAGATGCAGACCATGGCTTTCTTACACGTTCTAGGGAGAGAAATAAAAATATATTAGCAATATACACTCCCAGGGTTAGGACCAAGCAGCCTGGCTGTAACCCCCCACCTGGTACACTTACCAGAAGGGGCACTGCCACTACCATGGAGTGCATCTGGATGAATGGTTGAAGGTTCTCCGCTTGAAGTTTCTTTTAGCCCGTCCGTTTATGAGAGGATCTCTACTTCTCTCCCTGTCGCACAGAAAATAAAAATACAACTGGCATTTAGGGGAAAAAAATAATACATATTTTAATAATATCAAGAATTACCTTCAGGCTCAATTTGTATCTGGTCGAGGCTCTTTCCTTTGAATTCCGTCACTCTTCCCTGCTCCATGGCCATTAACACTTTGCTGATTTTGGCCAGCTCCAGCGTCCCCTCTGGTAGTCTGTAATATTGTCTGTGGATGCGAATGTCATGGCCGAGGAAGTTGGCTAGTATGTCCATTTATTCTCTTTCATATTGAGAACTGTATTTTTTTATTTTGTTTTATTTATTTATTCATTTATTTGACAGGGACAATGTAGTCATACATAGTTACATTATGAAAATGCAGCTGATGCGACACATACAGTGTATAGCTAATGCTAATTTTCAACTCCTGTCCCTGGTTGAGCTTTTCCCTACAGTGCAACACATTATACAGAATGAATAAAATAGGCCTAGCCCTAAAACACATATTTACAACAGTGATCTAACATTGAGACATTCCCCCCACCAATAACAGCCATATGGACAAAATATTCACAAACGAGAACACTCACACACACACAAAATACTGTTTACAAGTTTAGAAATGTTAGAAATGGGTGCATGATTGGTTTGTTTTCAGCCACAGCTTGAGCTTTGAGGTGAACTCCTTGAATTTTAATATGTTTTTCAGGTCAGTGGGCAGCGAGTTCCACAGTTTGGCCGTTTTTTTGGAGAAAGCAGACTGACCAAATGAGGTTCTACTGTGTGGGATTGCACAGTTCTTGTGGGATGTACTTCTGGTGACTCTGTTGCTGGTCTGTCTTTGTATAAATGAACTTAGTGGCTCTGGTGCCAGGTTATTGATGCATTTGAATGTTAGTTTTAGAGAGTACAATAATATATTTTTTTCAAAACTCAGTAGATGACAGTTTTTGAGTATATTGCAGTGGTGATATCGGGTTGGTTTCTTGTCCATAATTTTTATTGCTTGATTGTATAATGAGCCGATGCACTTTGTGGCTGAGGGAGCTGCCTGGGTCCATGCTGTCATGCAGTATGATAAATGGGAGAAGATCATCCCATGCATGTACAGTAAGGCCGCTTGATTGGGAATAAAATGTCGTATTAGTTTGAAACAGTTAAGATTGCGACGTATAGTTTTGGAACGTTTTTATATTTGTTTATCAAATTTTAGTTGTGGATCTAGAACCAACCCGAGGTAATTGAATTCTGTTATTGTTTTGATTTTTTTCATTTTGTAATATGATTTGGAAATTTGGATTGGTTTTTCTAATAGAAAAGCACACGGACACTGTTTTGGTAAGATTTAAGACCAGGTGATTTTGAGTGAGCCACTTGCTCACCTCAGCCATACATGCAGATAACACGTCTGCTGCCTGCTCCGGGGTCTTTGCGGGTGCATAAAAACAGCATCATCCGCATAGAGTTGGCACATGACACCTCCTGTACTGGCACCCCCACTCCCAAAAATAACAATTGTAAACCGCTTTGAGACTCCGATGTGCAGTGAAAAGGCGGTATATAAATAAAGATTACTTACTACTACTACTACTACTACTACTACCTGGGCAGGATGATGGAAGGTCATTTATGAAGAGGCTGAAGAGCAAAGGTCCTATTTTGGATCCCTGTGGATTGCCCATTTGTGACTTTAAAAGTACAGATTTATCTTTATCTATTTTAACGCATTGTGGTCTGGTCTGGAGGTAGGATGTAAACCACTGTATTGCGTTTGGTGAGATGTTGAAAGAGGACATTGTGGTTTACAGTCTCAAAGGCTTTTTTGAGATCCAGAAAGACTGCCCCCACCACTTCACCTCTGTCCATGGACATTTTCAGATTTTCAATAAAACAGCATTTGGGTATTTCGGTGGAGTAACCTGCCCGAAAGCCAAACTGCTGTGGGTGTAGAAGGTGGTGGGCCTCTAGGTGGTCAGTCAGCTGAGTGGCTACAGTCTTTTCGATAATTTTGGACATAATTGGTAAGATAGCAATGGGCCTGTAGTTAGACATATTGTCCTGTGCTCCTGATTTAAAAATTGGGACAATAACTGCTTTTTTCCACGCTTCAGGGAATCTGCAAGTTCTAATTGAGAGATTGATAAGATGTGTCAAGGGTTTGATTAGTGCAGTCTGAAAGCTTTTTAGGAAGCAGGTGTTCATATTATAAATGTCATTTGATTTCGAGTTTGATAAATTTGCTATAATTCTTGTTGTTGTTTTTTCATCAATTTCCAAGATTTGGAAACACTCTGCATCTATTGTTGGGCCTGGATCTGAGAGTTTGCAGGCCTCGAAATGACTAGTTATTTATTTTATTGATTGGACAAAGTGGTTGTTAAACTCATTGGCAATGGTGGCACTGTTGGTAATCCTGTTGCCATTTATTGTGATTTGCATAATTTCATTGTGCTTTGTTTTTTTATTAGTCAGATTGTTTAAATGTTTCCAAAGGGAGTTGTTATTATTCCCTCTGGAGTTGCCAATGAGCTCAGTGTAGTAAGAGGCTTGTGCTTTACGCAGCTCTTTCACTATTTTGTTTCGTAAACTTCTGTATATTTAATTGTCTGTGCCAAGTTTTGAATTTAGGGATTTCTTGAGAGCTAGGTCGCGGGATCTCATCAGTTTTCTTAATTCGCTGTTGATCCAAGGGATGGTGTTATCTTTTTGTCTGCACTTTTTTTGTTGAATATATTTCTCCATTAATTTTGAAACAGATTTTGTCATAAAGTTGCAGGCATCATCTACATTTTCCATAGACATCATTTGTTCCCAATTAAAAACATTTATTTCTTTTTCCACTTGTTGAGCTTTGGTTTTTGGGATGACCAGTTTTACTTTTTCATTTGTGTGATCAGGTTTACCAAAGTCAGTAAGCCTATTTTTAGTCAGCTTTCTAACTGTCAGGGTCATGTTATGGTCAGAAAGTCCAGACCATGAAGACCATGGAGCGGCTCATCCTCACCCATCTCCGCTCTGTGGTCAGTTCGCCTACAGACCCAACATCGGAGTAGAGGACGCGGTCATCTACTTCCTGCAGCGGACGCTCTCCCACCTGGAGCCCGCCGGGAGCGCTGTGAGGGTCATGTTTTTCGACTTCTCCAGCGCTTTCAATACCATCAGGCCGGCACTGCTGCAGGGGAAGATGGAGGACGCGGGAGTGGACAGTAGCCTCACTGCATGGACCATCAACTACCTCTCAGACCGACCACAGTACGCGCAGCTGTGAGTCTGAGGTGCTAGTCTGCAGTACTGGGGCCCCTCAGGGCACTGTCCTCTCACCGTTTCTCTTCACCATCTACACCTCAGACTTCACACACAGCTGTC